CTAGGCCAACCTAGAAGTTACCATCACCCTGGTTCCCTAAAAAAAAAAAAAAACTCTGTGACCAACCAGAGTTATGATTCATACATGTTTTGTTCAAGATAATCTTCACAAATGAAGATTAAAGGGGTCATGAACCGCCTTTTTTTATTATTTTGTGCTGTTCTCTGACATCCACTTATAATGTTATCAAGATTTTTACATAAAAAACATCATCATTTAGAAGTAATAGGCTATTTTCTGTCCTGTTTTGACCCCCCTCATCAGAACGCTCTGATTGAATAGTAGTGGCGGATTGTAGACTCTGAAGTAAACGCCCACTGCTATGATTGGCTAACAGTTGTGTATGTTTGAGAGCCTACATCCTTCACAGATGGACGCTGCTGTAATTTAGGTTAAAAATGCATAAATACAGACAAAGAAATAGTGACCACATAATAAAAACAGTTACTCACACTTGTGTGGTATGACATTACCGTCGGATCCAATATAGTCAGCTCAGCATCGTCTTTTAGTTTCAATATTTCTGAAAATTGTGTCAAATTGTGCCTTGTTTGTAATGAAATCGACAGTAAAATTAAGTGAACCAAAGCACGAAGTTCTTACTGATGCAGTCTGGAACTTCATTAAAAATTAAGTTCATCCACTCTTTTCTAATGTTGGGATCAGAAGGAAGGCAATGCAAAAACAACTTTTTCCCACAACTTGGCACTGCACAGCGTCTTGTTGTCTTCGGAGCATCTTTATCGTTTGATTTCTGCGTAGACCTACGTTTTCTTCTCTTGATATTTACCCACTATGTGAGTGAATCGGTGGGTGGGGCTAAACAGGCAGTGATATAGAAGCGAGCGTTGATCTTCCTCTGTGCACTGTAAAAAGTAATCAATGAATCTACTTAAGAAAAGCGAGTAAACATAACTGATTTTTACAAATTTGTTGAATTTACTTAATTACACTGTGTTATGTGAACTTTCAGGTGGATGCAATAGTTAAACTAAACAACTTTAGTAAACAGTACTTAAGAGCATCTAGTTTGTTGGATTAAATCCCACTATGTGCCCTAATAACTCTAGACCAGTAGGTGGCGGAAGTGCACTAGTAGGTGGCGGAAGGTTGGTTTAAACAAAACATCACCAGAAGAAGACAACGAACTGAACTTCAGAGTCAGATCGTGTTTGAAATGTGGCAGCAAGATTAGGTAAGTTTTTGGTGATCTACTTATAAACTATATTGTCACAGTGCGTGCTATAGTTTTTGAGGAAAAGAAAAGGCAGATTTTATTAGTTTTTACTGACGAGCATTACTGTAACCGTCAGTTAGCGTACTAGCTAGCCAGTGGCTTACAAGCTAGATTACAAACTTCGATCTTCCTCTTTACTGCTAGTTATAACATGAAATAAACGTGAGTAAGCATCATAAAGTATGTTGAGCGATACAGTACACCTTAATGAAATTTATCATGTCTTATGTAATCCGTTTTTCAGTATTTAATGTTTGAACAAATGTCATGAAAACAAGTTATCATCACAACCACTGTTTAAATGTTTATATTTCAGAAAATTATTTGTAGTAGAAACTTCATTTAAAATAGTTTTTAAATGTGCGTCAATGCCCAGCACTAATTATTACCATTTTCTTTTCATATTCTATGTGCTCTTTTTTTGGGGACTTAAACTCGTGCAGTGGAAGTGGAAGTTCTACTTGTTTATTGAGTGAAAAGAGAGCTCAACTGCTGAAAAACTTATTAAAATATGGAAGCTATGGAATATGAAAATTCTCCAATTCCATGTTTCCACATAGTATATGCTTATTCACATAGGTGTGCTTAATGAAAAATCATACTTTGCAGTTTTGTGAAACCCTGCACAGAATAAGTAGATATTCATTATATGTTATGCTGAATGCTTGTGCTTTGAGTGATATTAAATATGAGTTTTTTTAATAATTGTACAGACATCTAACATCAATGGGCGATGAACAGCAGTTCTCCACGGCCTTCCACTCTTCCTTGAAAAGGACCTTACTGATTTTTACAAGACATGTTTTGTAAGTAATTTTGTCTGTTATATTCTGGTTATTTAGTGTAATGCAGACAATTCTTGAGACCTGGCAAGAAAAAAATCAGGACACAGAAACAATATAAGATAGAAAGGAATAAAGAAAGTGAAAAAAAAAAACTTCTAAGGAAAAAAGGAAAGGGAATGTATAATAAAAGAACAGAGTTGGAAAGAAGAGAAAAAATACTTAAAGGGTTAGTTCACTCTAAAATTCTGTCATTAATTACTCACCCTCATGTCGTTCCAAACCTATAAGACCTTTGTTCATTTTCGGAACACAAATTAAGATATTTCTGATGAAATCCAAGAGCTTTCTGCATAGACAGCAACACAACTACCACGTTCAAGACCCAGAAAGAAAGTAAGTACATCGTTCACGAGAGTACCACGACGCATGCGTGTGATGCTGCTGACGCAGGAGCCGGCGTTCTGACGTAGAACACGCATGCACTGTGCCTTGTTTACAAGCAGAGGAATGCACAAGCATTGTCAGATTTCATCAAAAATATCTTCATTTGTGTTCCGAAGATGAATGAAGGTCTTACTGGTTTGGAACGACATGAGAGAGTAATTAATGACAGAATTTTCATTTTTGGGTGAACCCTTTTTAAATAAGAGTAAGAAAAATAATGTGAAGAAAGAAAATAGAAATTAGGTAACAAGGAGTCTGACAATTTAGATGAAGGAAGAGTAAAGGAAACAACACAAAGAGGAAAGAAGTCAGAAAGGAAGGACAGAAAAGAATAAAGGTAAGTAAGTGAAAGAAATATAAAAATCAAAAAGGAGGTTTGAAAGAAATAAAGAAATCAGATAAGCAAGAGAACAAAAACAAAGAGTCTAATATATGAGTGATAGAGACGTGAAAACCACTCGTTTAAGACATGGCCTATGAGGGTGCTCTCTTGATCATGGTTTTCTGGTCAGTCTTTAGAAATCACACAAAAGAGAATATATATGTCAGTATTGAACCAAAATGCTGTTGTTGTTTTTTTTTACACTTTTCAAATGTCAAAGCAGCAGTTTCAGAATAGATTATTGTATAGCTGGCATACTGTTCAGTTTGTCTTGTCTTTTTGTACAACAGATTGAATGTCTTTTTTTATTTTTATCTGGGATCCACTGCTGTGCTCAGTTTGAAAAGGCCTTTATATCTAAACATAATACACAGATATTAATTTGTTTGCAAATGTTTAACCTGAATATGTACTCTTAAAATGTAATTACTTATTTTTGTCATATTGTATTCTTGTTTCTAGGACTATGATGAAGAAGAGATGTCAGTCGGCCTATTGACCGTGATCCCTGAGCGGAGGACTCTAGAGCCATGCCCAACTCACTGCATTTAATGCCATGTCTACTGCAATAATTTTGGAAGGTACAATTGTATTGGATGATCTGGAAAATCCTCCCCAAGATATGCCTGCTCTTTGGACTTGGATTTATGCTATGAAATTATAGTATCCTCCAGTACTGAAGGACACCTTTGATTTCATTCAATGGCTGAACCTAGAATGCAATCTCTGAAAAATCTTCTGATGTAGAAAGATGTCATTGTGGCGTGATGGAGCATTTTTCAGTGTAATTGTTCATGATTGATCATTATTGATTTAGAAAAAGGTAATTCTAGAAAATGGTAAATCTAGATTTACAAGGTGTCATAAAAGGGATGTTGATGTTTGTTTGTTTTTCTATTTATTTCCTGAGTGCATTATGTGCAATTTTTCTTACAGTGTTAAATTGTTGATTTGATAGCATGCCTAAAAAATAATGACTTGAAGTAACATTGTTTTAAACAAATAAATGCCCTATTGTTGTGCTAACAATCTGTTTTCTGTCTTTGTATTAACAACTTTAAGTTTTGAGTACAGCTTACTTGAGAAATTTAAGGCAATCAGTTTCCACACATTTTTCTAGTAATGTGAACAAAGCAGACTTGTTAAGAGAACTGTTTTGTTTGAGTTCTGTGCACTAAGCTTAACTTACATCTCTAAGTTGGCTGAACTTGTCAAATTGAGTTACCAACACTCAAGTTTTCTGGTAACCTATACATATACACAAGTTACCTATACAAAGTTACAGTAAGTTTTATTAACTCAAAAATGATAAACTAATTTGCCTGAGAAATTTGAGGCAATCAGTTTCCACAGGTTTTCCAAGTAAGTTCAACTCATTACTTTTTACAGTGCAGTTGTGTAAACATCTGCACCTTAACTGAAATACAAATGAACTCTACTCAATGCATAATGCGCTCATGGACATTCATTTAATCAACCGCAAGATTTAAGGTCGAGTGCATAAAATCATCTTTTCTTGAACACATTTTGCTGTCACCGGTTCGTTTTAAATGGTCCTGTGGCGTGAGAAATGAATTTTGGAAAGTAGAAATATTCCATGCAGTTTCTAATTTACTGTAATATGAGTTGCATGCATAATAATTACAAAAGAACCTGCAAAATGCTGTTTAAAGAAGTCAAACAGCAGGAAGTCGACTTCCCAAAGGTATTTTGCATCAACTACTCAACTGCAGCACCGTGGCAAAAGAAATTATGCGAGTTATGAATCCAAATTCATGCGATGAGAGGGTTTTCCAAGTAAGTTCAACTCATTACTTTTTACAGTGCAGTTGTGTTGTGTAAACATCTGCACCTTAACTGAAATACAAATGAACTCTACTCAATGCATAATGCGCTCATGGACATTCGTTTAATCAACCGCAAGATTTAAGGTCGAGTGCATAAAATCATCTTTTCTTGAACACATTTTGCTGTCACCGGTTCGTTTTAAATGGTCCTGTGGCGTGAGAAATGAATTTTGGAAAGTAGAAATATTCCATGCAGTTTCTAATTTACTGTAATATGAGTTGCATGCATAATAATTACAAAAGAACCTGCAAAATGCTGTTTAAAGAAGTCAAACAGCAGGAAGTCGACTTCCCAAAGGTATTTTGCATCAACTACTCAACTGCAGCACCGTGGCAAAAGAAATTATGCGAGTTATGAATCCAAATTCATGCGATGAGAGAGAAACCAGAGTGGCGTAAAATAACAGAAAACACGACTGACAGACAACACATCTTTCTAGTGCGTCGACAACAAACATGAAGCACAACAAGTGCAGTTCAATACATTATGTATAATGTATAATTGATGGTAGTTTTACAGTTCTGACTGGAGTGTTTGAATACAAATGAACGTGATTTCTATGTGTGTCTCGCTCTAGATACACAATCTATTTGTCTAAATAACACGCACAGCCTCCGTTTTATCCTCGCTGACTTTCTCAGCGGGCTATGTCTGTGCAAACAATCCCATAAATTAGGAGAGGAGCTGATAAATATCTTTAAAGCAAATTTATGAGCAAAACCACCCATTCAAAAACACCCCCAACAAACAGACAATATGGGCCAAATTTCAGCATATTCTACCCTGCTATAAAAGTCTAACTCTGTCCTGAATACACAATGAATCTCCGGTGTGATGTCCTCTCTATATTCTACCCAGAAGAACTAAAACCTCATCCGCACAGAATGCTAATGACACACTATCTGGTTGCTTTAGGAGCTCTAGTCTCACAAAAATTGCACTGCATCACACCATACTGAATTACTGTCACATGCATATTCATTTATGGTATTAAAGGAATAGTTCAACCAAAAATGTTAATCTGCTGACAATGTACTCACCCTCAAGCCATCCAAAATGTAGATGAGTTTGTTTCTTCATCAGATTTGGAGAAATGTAGCATTCAGTCTCTTGCTCAGCAATGGATGCTCTGCAGTGAATGGGTGCCGTCAGAATGAGAGTCCAAACAGCTGATAAAAACAGCACAATAGTCCACAAGTAATCCACAGCACACCACTCCATCAGTTAGCATCATATGAAGCCAAAAGCTGCGTGCTTGTAAAAATCAAATCCAGCACTAAGACATTTTAGTGTCACTTCTGGCTAAAATACGTGTCCATAAACTATAATAACAGTGAAAAAGTTCATCTCCTGTTGTCTCTCACATTAAAATCCAGCCACATATTTGTTTAGACTCTTTTGGACTGTTTTGGCTTGTAAACGGTTCTTGAAACTGTGCAGATTTCTCTCCTGATTCAGACGAGGAGACTTTTTCACTGGAGGAAGCGTTATTATGGATTATGGACTCGTATCTTAGCCAGAAGCAATGGTTTGAAGTTAAAACATCTTAATGATGGATTCGTTTCTTTTGGCATCTCAGTTCATTAACTGATGGACTGGAGTGGTGTGGATTACTTGTGGATCATTGTGATGTTTTTATCAGCTGTTTGGATTCTCATTCTGACGGCACCCATTCACTGCAGAGCATCCATTGGTGAGCAAGTGACTGAATGCTATATTTCTCCAAATCTGATGAAGAAACAAATTCATCTACATCTTGGATGGCCTGAGGGTGAGCACATTTTCAGCAAATGTTAACTATTCCTTTAAATATGGAAGCGACAGCAAAGCAACATTTTTGTTTGCTTGCTTGCTTTCTTTTCATTAGAAAATACTCAAATTACACTGCAGATCCGGCAGTCTCGTGTATGTGAGGGATCTGACACTTGTCGTGGCAATATTTGTCCATGTGAACCACACTGTGAAATATGGCAGCTGAATTGAAATACAGTATGGGAGATTGAGACTCTGTTAAACTCATGGTCCCTGCTGTGTAGAAATCTACCATTACCGGCCGGCTGTCCCACCTGACCTGCAACACCAGAGAAGAAGAACAGGCTGGATGTCTTACTGACCCGTGAGCCCACCGAACACACAAAGACAGACCTGCAATACATCTACAGCCGGCACTGAGACTCACGAGGGACCCGTCACAGCGGCAGTGTTTATCCTACACCACCACAAGAAAATCCATCATCTCTGGATGTTATTACAGTATGGATGATGCAGAATGCGGAAGCAATATGATTAATGCCAATGAGATTATTGCAAGAAGCATTTTTCAGTAAATATATTGGAAAAATATTTTTTTAATTAAATGCATATGCATAAATATTTACCTTAACTATTTAACTAGGGCATTTCAAAACATGAAAAATGCAACTTGACATTTAAGTTGCATTTTCAGTGCCACTTGAAAGACTTATTTTTGTTACCTTTACTGTATATATTGACTTTAACATTAAAATCACCATTACATGAAAATTCGATTTTCTAAATGCATGGTGTAGATCACAATGTAAACGATCCCTGTATGCGTTTTTATTTTTTTTATATGTAAAAAAAAATAAATAATTGTAAACACCAAACAAAAACTAGCATCACCATCAAATTGCTCAAGGTGGCTGCTTGACCAAAGATAAAAAAAAAATAAAAATAAAGAAATAAAGTCAGCACACCATGGCTCCAAAAATAACTAAATTACAAATTTTTTGGAGCCATGGTGTGCCAATTTTTTTTTTCTTCTGCTACAAAAAATTGTAATTAAAATGTCCTAACTGGATATTCACTCATACTGTCTGCTTAAACTCCGCCCCTGTAAACTCACATTCATCTGCTTCCACTATTGATGGCCACGCCCACATCTCAACATCCAATCAGCAACAGATGCACAGAAACATGTGACCGCCCTACATTTTTTTCTTTTCTTTTTTGATAAAAAATTCACTCAGATGTACATCAAAATAGGTAAAGATCTGTCACTACTTTCTTTTTTATCACAATTTCAACAATAAGCTGTACATTTCAAAATAGTAACACAAGGTATCATTTGCTAACATTAGTTAATTACATTAGTTAACATGAAATAAAAATGATCAATACTTCTACAGCATTTATTCATTTTAGTTCATGTTCATTTCTACATATACTAATGCATATTTGAATCTTTTAACATTAGTTAATGCAGCATCAATAAACAATGAACAATTACATTGAGAATGTTCATTCAGAAATCGCTAGTAAACTTCACAAAGAAACAGCAAGTAACACATTAAATGTAATTTTTAAGTAGAATTTTTACGTAGAAAGACTAAAGTAGAAATTTCTAGTAAAATGTAGATCTAAAAAAAAAACAACAACAACAGCTTGGTGTCGAAACAATTAGTAAATTTCACAAATAATTACAAAGAAACACATTGAATTAAACCTGTTATAAAATCTGTTATATTTACAGTACAACTTTGAAAAATATTTTTATTGTGATAAAATTATTACTTTGTATATATATTTTTTTTTTGTTCTTTTTATTTTCTTTTTCTTTTAAAATATTGTGATAATATTCTTATTTAAGAATGTTTGAATCAGGATTATTATAGTCAACCAAAACTAAA